TCAGAGGTCAAAATTAAATAAAAGATAAAATTCAGGGACCAAAATGCAATTACTATAAGGACCAAAGTGAAAGAAATCAAAATGTTCTGGGCCGAAGTGAAACTACTCCAAAGATCAGGGGCTAAAGTGCAAATTCGTTATCAGATCTTCTTAAGAAAACAGGCCACTGGGCCATCATTTTTATTTCTTTGGGCCAAACATTACCTAAGCCCAGCCGAAAGTCCAAGCGAAAACACAATGCCAGCCCGTCTTCTATCACTCAGACCCAACCAAAATAAAGGCATGGGCTCTGACCTTCTAGCCCAACCGAAATTAAGAAACAAAACAAAAACCCATTTACAAAACCCAACCAAAACTAACTCTTGGCCCATCAGAAAAATAAACATCAGCCCAATTTCCTTTCCTTTTCTTTCTTCTCTTTTCTTTCTTTTCTTTCTTCCCCATTCGTTTCTTCTTCTCCTCTGGCCATCCGAAGCTCACTCCAGTTGGCGGCCATGGTGGCCGCCGGTAGCGCCACCGCGGCCACCACCTCCGGCGGCGGTCGCCGGCGACTTCTCCGGTCGCCAAAATTTCTCAAAATACACCTCCCCACTCCATTTTTCGCGCAGACTCCATTTTTGAAGTTAGTTTTTACAAAAGATGACCCAAAAGTGGTCAAAATGCCAAGAAATCAGTTCAGTTTTTATTTTTTAAAACTCTCAAATCTTCACCAAAAATCATAAAAATTATGCCAAAACCCTCCTGATAACTTCTACAATACAACTATAATCTTAGTTTGACAAGTAAACAACAACAAAAGGATGCATTAAATCAAAACAGTCCCTAAAATTCTTTTTGGCATTTTTTCAAACAATTAACATGCATTCACAAGAAATCATCTTTTTCCTTTAATTTCATACATGGCTTACCCCAAAACTTCAACAACACCACATAACAACAACATCAATAAAAGAAAGAGACAAATAGATAGCAAAACATGAATTTAATCTAATTAGTTAATAAAATGAAAAGCTGGAAAAAAAATAATAATAATACCTCAATGAGGAGTTTGGTCCCTTGGCCAAAGTTTGTGATGAAATTTGCCAAGCTCCAAATAGCCTAACCGATCGCTGCTTCCTTTTGTTGTTTTAAGTTGTGTATGAGTGTGTTGAGAGAAACAAAAAAAAAGAAAAAGGAACCGAGAGGGAGAGAGCCCAAAGTCAGAGTGAGAGTTGGAGTCTTTTTTTCTTCTTCTGTCTGACCTGATGGTCCGTCCAGAGAGCAGAGAATCGAGAGGGACTTGTAGGAAAAAAAAAAATGGGGCTTGTGTGTAGGATTTTTTTTCAAATGATAGCTTCTGCCAATGAAAAGAAAGGTGCCTGGCAATTGAGTGTGGAATGGGTTAATAGGAGTTTTGGTAGAGAAAATGATTATGATGATTTTTTTTATTTTTTTTACTTTTATTTTATTTTTGTTGTTTGTTTGTTTTTTTTTTTTTTGGTTTGTTTTTCTTTTTTTTTTTTTAAAGCAAACCTGCAAAAATGAGAAAAATGCACATTAAAATGCTAGAAAATAAATAATTCATTAAATAGAAAAATCTTGAGAAAATATTAAAAATTGACAAAAATTTGGTATCTACAGGAAGAATGCATTAGAAAGGTTTTGCACTTGTATTTATGCATTAGATCGAATTCACTATTATATATGCGTTGCTTAAGGTTCGGGTTATCCCTTCCTTTTTTTTTTTTTTTTGCCCGAGACGATAAACCTAATATATCTTATACTAAGGGGATAAACCTAATATATCTTATACTAAGGGGAAGGGGACGGGCCTAAAGAGGTCCAGAAATAAATCAGAGGAGACTGAATCATTACCGGATCAGACGGGTGTATAGCACATTCGCCTGAATTTTTTGGAGACAAGTCACTGAAATGTGGCAAAGAAAATTCTTGGAAGTACACAAAACGGGCAAAGAAAATTCTCTCCTTCTGCGCCTTTTTTATTCGTCAACGAATTCCAAGAAATAAGTGAAGCTGACAGCCAAATTAACTTCTTTAGCTTAAAAGGGTAATTGCATTCTACTCGCTATATTTGGAACTCACATGAAACCAACATTATCTCAAGTTTAGTCAAAATTCATATGGTTCTTTTTAACTTTCCATTTTGTACTAACATTGTGGAAAATTGCTTAATTATTTACCCAAAAAAATTTATGTAATCTACATGGAGACGCTCTATGTTTTCAGCTATAAGGAAAAATAAACTTATGGAATTATGCAATTTCCTAGCCAGTATTCTAATGGAAATGTTTAGATTGAAATTGCTACGAGGAATAGTGCGAGAAGTGGAGTTAGATAGATTATATTTCTTCAATACTAAGAATTAGCATCACATGTTGCTCCATCAATTTTATATATATATATATATATATATATATATATATATATATATATATATTGTGTGTGCATGTGAAAGTTCTTAATTTGGTTACCTATTTTCTTTCTCTTAGGTGTCGTGCCTAATTGATGAGAATTGATAGGCCATTTTTATATGATTTTACCCATATTTGTATACTAGTGCTCTCTCTAATCAGTTTCTCTCTCTCTCCTAATAAACTAATATCTTTATTTATAAATTCGCATTAGTTTATTTTATCCATATGTAGTAATTTTATTTATTTTTATTTTATTCGTTACTTCATTAACATTGCTAGAAAGTTAATATTTCATTCATGGAGAAAATATTTTTTTTGCATATTTAGTATGTAGCTTGAGTATAGAGCCGTAGTTTTAGGTTTTTAATCATATAAAAATCTAATAGTTAATTCAAAGAATATCTATTAATTTTTTCATATACCTTGCATATATTTATGAATTATATTATATTAGAATAAATGCATGTATAGAAGTTTTAAAAATTAATATGGTACTTATATAATTTATTTTCTAGCACAAATATTCATGAGTAGGTAAGAGTATTATTTTATCTATTCTTGAATTATTCATACTTATATAAATTGACAACTGAGACTAATATAAAATACTGGTACTATTTTATCAGTGCTAATGCATGGATCAAAATGCTACTAACTGGTGAATTTTTACTAATGATTCTTGATCAGTCTAATTAAAAAAAAAGAAAAAGAACATAGTCTCTATCAACTTTAAAGATCAATTTAGTTTATTTTTCAATTATTAGGGAGAAAAAGTGAAATAAACCAAACAGTACAAAGGTGAATATTCTCTAAATACACATCTCTTAATAATTTCATTTTGTTGTTATTAGGTCAACATCACAAAATAATTACACCAATTATTGTATTCCTTATTTGGGTTGGGAAATGAAAAAAATTAGAAAGCTCATGCACATTTAACAAAAGAAGATTGTGCCACATGAATAATAGTCATACAAATCCCTTGCTTGAAAATTTATGAGATGAATTGAAATTTGAAGATGGCGATATACTTACCTTAATTGTCTCACATAATTTATTTGTTCGGATTTGATTTGGCTACGAGAATACCTATCAATTCTTCTTTTATTTGTCAATCTTCATCCTCGTTCCATGGTTATTGTCATGTTCTATTTATTAAAGAAAAATTTAGTTGGATAATAAGGTGAGAATAATTATAAATAGAAGGTCTATTTATCAATCCTCATCCTCATCCCATTATTAATGTTCCATTTATTGAGGGAGGGTTGAGCCTTAAGGCTCTAAGCCATCCCTATCCCTTAGCCCCCCGGTGTTCTCCCTCCCACATCGATAGAGAGAGGTGTGTGTGTGTTGGATATAAGCTCCTCGGCTCAATCCATAAGTCAGCATATGCCTTTTGGGTTGGGTTGTGGGTTCAGTTTATGTCCGGTGTGTGTGCGTTTCTTAACTAAGGTATGAGAGGGAGGGTTGAGATGGGTAATAATGTGAGAATGGTAAGTAAAAAGTTTCAAGACCTCTCGTTAAAAAAAGATGTTCAATTTATTTGACCTATATTTAGTACATTTTCTTAATAATGAGGAGGGAAAGTTGTTAAAAAATCTCTTAAATTTTGTAAAACGGTTTTTTGGTCCTTTACTTTGAAAAGTGTAATTTTACATCTCTTACAAATTTACATTGGTCAAATTTTGTTTCTACATAAGTTTTCGACTAGTTTTTGGTCGGAATCCACAATTTGAGGGGTAAATTTGTCGAATTAAATTTTACATAATCAGATCTATAGTCCCTCACATTTCACAAAATAAATTTTTCATCCCTTATTAATCATGTGTACCAATAGTTTTTTTAAAAATTCATGTATATATTTATTTGATTTCGCCTGAATAGTACGAATAATATGTCTCTATTTGATTTTACCTACCATTACAATTAGTTTGTTTAGGTGAAATCAAATAGAAATATATTATATATTATGCGCATTGTTCATATAAAATTAAATAGATATGTATACGGGTTTAAAAAAAACTTATTAATACACATGATCAATTATAAATGAAAAAATTCATTTTGTGAAATATGAGGGATAAAAAAATTCATTTTATAAAATATGAGGGATGAAAAAATTTATTTTTTAAAATGTGAGGGACTATGGATCGGATTATGTAATTTTTGATTTGATAATTTTGCCATTATAAAATGATCACGTATAAGGCACATGCTAAATTCCGACAAAAAAAATTGAAAATCTAGATAAGCATAAATTTAATTGATGTGAATTTGTAAGAAAAGTAAAATTATAATTTTAAAAGTAATGAATAAAAAAGTCATTATTTAAAATATGAGAGATGTCTTAAACGATTTTCACTCATGAGAATTAATAATTCAACTCCTTTCAAACAAAAAAGAGAAAATTATGAATCCATCTGTATCATTAGCGAATCAGATTAATTCCAATCTGACAAATTTCCCTCCCAAAGTGCATCAGAATTCCGCTCAACAGCTGTTACATTTCCCACCAGTCGGACCCAGCTATCCACGTGGTGTCGTCGCATTATCTCCCTCCCCGTCTCCTCTGCTACCCAAAAAAGAAACACTCTTCTTTCTGCACTTGTCTCATATTCACTCTCCACTCTGCTCTGCTTTTCCTCCCAAACTCAAACGCTCCAGTTTCTTTCAGGCTCTTACAAGCAGGAAAAAAAAAGAGAGAGAGAGCATATTTTACCCATTTTGCAAAAAAGTTCTTCATCTTTCCTTTCGACGTTGTCGTTTTACCTGCCTCAGAAACCTGGCTTGTTCGGCTCCTTCATTTTTCTCCTCATGTGGGTTTCTTTTTTTCTTTGATACATCTTTGTACTTAAATCTCTCTTTAGTTTCGCGAGGAGGGTTTTCTAGTTGACGTCGATTAAACCGCTATTTAGTTGGTCTTGGGGATAAAAGTTTGATCTTTCCACTTTGTAGTTGAAGAAAATCAGAAAAAGCTGTTATCTTGATGTCGTTTTTTTAAAAATTTTTTTTTTTGTTTGTCTGATCATGGGTTTTGTTTTCTTTTTTAAAAAGAAAATAAAACAGAAATAAAAAGAATGAGTTCTCCAGACTCGAAGTCGGTGTTTCCTGAAATCACCGAGGAGTCATCAGTGCCTGAGCTGATGGCGTTTGTGCGGTCGTCTTTTCGCCAAGAGGATTTTCATGAGGTGGAGAGGTTGCTGGTAGGTCGAGAGGAGAAGATGGAGATGGAGTTGAGAAATCTGAAGAGGGACTATGAGGAGATGAAGAAAAAGTGTCAATCGCTGGAGGCTCAGAATTTGGAGCTTGAGGAGAAACTGAAGAAACGCAGGATTAAATGTCAGGAGTTGAGGCAGCAGCTGGTTAGCCTAGAAATTGAGAAAAGCCTAGCTGAGGACATGGTTACGCTGCGTGATGCTCAGCTGATGGGCTTGACTAGTAGAGTATCCAAGTTGGAGGAGGCTGTTGCTCGGATATTGAGAGTTCCTGTCGCGATCATAAGGAGCGGTGCTCTTCTTGCTCAAGAAAGGACGCAAGTCCAGGTTTCAGCAAATGGGGTGGGCCTTCCTGTTTATGACGGTCATAACAGGGGCATGAATATAGAGAATTTGCGGAACGGAAATTTGAAGAACGGAGATTTGCAGAACAGAAATTTGCAGAACGGAAATTTGCAGAATGGAGCTGTCAATCACGTGGGCAGTGAAAATGGAGAATTTCATCTCGAGAATTTGCACAAGGAATTAGGCGTTAATTTTGAGAATCACCAGACTATGGACTCTTTCCTGAATAGTCAGCTACAGTTTGCTCGCATCATAAGTGGTACTCAATTCCCTGACTTGCCGAAGGAAGGTAAAACTGAATGCGTGCTCTTAAAGCATTTAAATTGCATATTGTTCTTATCAATGTTTTGGGCGGTCTGGGATAATCGAGATGAATTTATAATCTTAGCTGTGTGAAAAAACGAGATTTTAAGATGACCGAATAAAGTACACTCTGGACATCATATGTTTACAGGTGGTGTATTTTTGCACTAGCTTGGTTAATGAATGATATAGGTTTTTACTTCGGGCCTGCGCAAACTGCAGAGACTGCAGCAAGTGACCATGACAATGCTGAGGCTTCTTCTGGTGCACAATTAACTTTTGATTGTGCTGAAGTTGAAAATGTTGCTTCTGACAAAAAGGAGGAGAGTAATGGATCTCCAGACACAGGTATCTTGTCATATACATCTCTGTCAACAATGTCTTTAGTGTGATTTAATTAAAAAACCAAAGCATGTAATTTCGTATGATCATTCCAAGTTTAAGAATATGGCCACAGAAAGTTATTTGCACAACTAAACCATGTTTAAGCTTGAACTTTTCCAGCTTTTGAGTGTTGACCAGTCAATCAGCAGTATTCTATTGGCAAAAAGTAGGTGCCACATTGAAATGCACGAAAGCTGTCCTTTGTCTGTGAATGGTGGATTTTCTTAAAGAGTGTTAGCTGCATTTCTGGAGGGACTCTGGGGTCATAAATTTAGAGCAGTTGTCAAGGACTGGACAGCTTGGTTTGACGAATAACATTTGCTTATTGGTCTGTGTTGATTGATACCTAACCAAGGCAGCTACTTCATACGATCCCTGTCATAGTTATAGCCAGTTAATGGTTTTATTTTTCATTTTTCTTTTTGGGGGAGAGGGTTGGGGGTGTGTGGAGAACCTTAATAACCATTGCCGTTTAGGCAGGACTCTATTCTTTTTTATCGGTGGCAGACCTATAATCCAATCGGTTGAACTTGCTTTTGGGGGTCATCTATCATTCAGATAGCTAGTGCCAAACAGAATTCATACAGAGGTTCCTTGAGATAGATGCAGTCTTAGCCTGTTTAGAGATAGTGTTACTGTCATCCCATTGATTGTGATTGGTGTTGCTTCACTTATCTCATTGTTACTGGACCTCTTGAATGTTTAGCCACTGACTTATACTGTGCATGCATGAGTATGAATGTACATACACATAGCCTTCTCAAAACTTAAACAGGCATTTTTGTATGAACCCCCTCTGATACCCATTCCTAGGGTTGGATGGATTACCAAAGCCCCCCTCTCTCTTCATCTCCATCCCCTGTGCCTGCCTTCTTCCCCATCTACCGTTGTACACCACCTAAGGGGATGTAAAGTGGCATTAATCCACACATGATACAACCACCTATGGGTTCAATACCAATAAATCTTACAGCTCTAAAGTTACTCAGAATAAGATAAGGATTTAATAGTGCCTTGGTACAGCAACTATGAAATCTTGTTTCCCGAACAGGGGATATTCTGAAGTTGAACAAATACTAAATACCAGAAGCTTATATTATTTTTCTCTCCCTCGGATACTTTGAAGTTTATGAATATCAGGTACATGTATTTGTGTTAAGTGTAATTGATACTTTGCTATAAGGTTCCTTTTTTCCCATATCTCATTTTTTTTTATTTCCTTCTTCTGAAAGTGCCTTTCATCACTTATATTTTTTAGTTTTCTGGATTATTTTCTAGTGTAGAAAAGATTATTGGCTGATAGCTGAAGGGTAGTCATGTTATGCCGTGGAATACCAGTGATGGGAAGTCACTATATGAAGTTGTCAGAGGGAAAATCTTGTAGCCTGCTGTTTTGTTTGTCCAGATGGAGGAAGATAAAGCTGCATAGGGGGGTTGC